AAGAGCTCTAAGAAAAGGCAACATAAGGGGGAGCAGATACGTCTGGATTATTCTGAACCTAAGGCATTATCTCAAATTCCTTGGTATTTGTTGGGTAATTGTGGGAAGTACTCCTCACTTTGCCTTTGTGTAAGGAAGTTAAGACTGTTTGCCAGAGGATTGATCCTTTTGATTTTTAAAGTCATGGTGAAGCTTCTGAAGGGAATAGTAAGCGGTAGGAGTCAAGTTAGCCTATTGCTGCTCTGTTTTCTTGAGTACTTGTCTGTGTTTCTTTCCATGAAGGCTGAAAATAAATAAAAAAATCTACTGTAGACAGAAGTTTCACATGCTCTATACTCTTACCTGCAAAACCAGACCTGATGTACCCTGGAAACAATATGAGTAGAGATAATAATTAGCATACACAATTTAATATCTCATAGGTCTCTTTTAATGTGTAGCTACAAAGGTACTTTCTGACCGTTTTTATTACCTGTCTGGCATTATAAGGAGGGGACTTTGTCATCAAGGTGTGCAGCGATATGGTTTGTTACTCCCTGGAAAGGTATTTTTCTCATTTTTCTTCCTTTCCTCCCTTTCCCTCCTTTGCCTCCATAAGTGTTGATGGGAGAATTTCTCATGTGGCATAAATGCCCAAGATGAATGGGAACATCTCAGCATCTGACCCCAGTGATGACACAGCCCTGCTGTCACTTTACCTTTGGCTTGTCCGATGTGGATTTGTGTGTCGGAGTGAGGGGTTTGGCCTTGGGTTAGATGCCCAGAGAGGAAGCCAGGCGGAGGAGAACCTGTGTGATAAAGATCTCGCGTTTTATTCTTGATGAGGTTGGGAAAATAAAACCCCTCAAGCTGTTACTGTCTTACAGGGGCATTCCAAGGAAAATTATTTCAAGATTTTGGAAAAGCGTAAATGTCATTATTGCCAGTAGGCAAACGGTGTCTTTGTCTCCTGCTTCTTCCCTGTTACCATCTGTCACCTTGGTAGTTTTAGACTGGTTCCAGGTCCTGCAGCTTCTCTCTGAGTGGGCTGATTTCTGCAGCCCAGAAGAGGGAGTTTTATGATTCGGGCTCTCGACTGCAAGTTTCTTGTTAAAAAAAATTGCATCTGTGGCACCCAGCCCTGTGGGACTTCAGTCCTGACTGAGTTTGCGTGGGACGTTTGCCATTGACGTCACCAGACGAGTGTAGATTAGATCTTGACAGAGCTCTCTGTGGTTTCGTGGATCCCTCCGAAGAGCGATTTATGCACGGAGGCTCTTCGCGCACCCCAGGATGACACAGAGTGATGGGCTGCAAAAGCCTGGAGCCACTTGCGCTGCCTCACACGCTTGCAGCGAAGGGAGTGGGAAGGGAAACCTCCCATTCTGGTACTTGCACCGTACTTCTGCGTCACATCCGTAAATCAGCGTGTGAAGATGCACCCAGCCCAAGTGTAGTCCAACCTTAGGACGTCCCCTGCTTCGGGAGCAGCCCTGTCTCAGTCAGGGTTTCTGTGCTGAGACCTCGTTGTCCTTTCCTGAAGTTAACTTTTTTCCTGACTGTAGCATCTTTCCAGATAAAACATCTCCTTTCTTCCCTTGCTCCCCGGGTCTACACAGAAGCCTGATGAGTGTGTGTTGTCTGTCCTTCGGCGACACCTGAGCAGAAAGGCAAAATTTTCCTGGAATAGGGTAGGCTCTGCGGCTACAACTTTGCAGCCAAGAGCTTGTTCATGGGCTGCTCAGGTTTCTGAATATTGCATGACTCGTGTTCTGTGCTGTCGTCTTGCGCTGAGGGTGTGCTATCGGCGAGTCCCACTCTGCTGCTACTTCAATATACAGTAGAAAAGGTGTTACGGAGGAAAGCGTAGGTTAATGCAGAAATGAGGTGTAATAACTGTTTCTGATTCATCCACCAATCTACATTTCTTCAAATAGTCAATGTCGATCAGCAAAGATACCAGAGAGCGAGCAGACAAGGGTCTGGGATGATCCTCCCTGGCTGGCAGTCCGCATCCTGCAGAAGCAGCCGTCCCTCCTCTGCCGCTGCCCTCCTAGAAATGCTGGAAATTCATCCCTGCGGCTCTGAACTATCCCTTTTCCCAGGGGGACTGGCTCCTCCCTCGCCCCGAGCTTTTTCCAAGCACAGGCACTTGGTGAAGCTGCCTTACTCCAGAGTCGCCAGAAGTCATTTTCTGGCCTGTGTTCTCCGTGTTGCCATGACGGCAGCGGAGGGCTTGGCGCCCTCGCCGATATCCACACGATTTGTTTTCAGCAACCCCTGTCACCTCCACGCTTGGCAATTCGCTGTTGACGGGACGTCACAAGTTATGACATAGTTTAAGCCCTTTGGGGCTGCTCCTGAGATATCCAGGGACTTTTAGAGCAAAGTTCCTTTTTCTCTGCTGTTGTTCTGCTTTTGAAAAGCTCCAGCGACCAGGATTCTTACAGTTTCAGATTGGGTTTTTAATCTTGTAAATATTTAGCTCTTTCCTGTCCTCCCCAAACACAGAAGTACGTGTCAGATTGTTACTGAAGGGGAAGCACAGATGAAGAAGCTAAGATCTATTTTTCAGAAACATGATATTGGGATTTTTCGATCTGTCGGTGCTTCTATGCTCAGTCAGGAGCATTTTTTTTATTATTATTATTTTTTTCCCCTCAAAATACTGAGCACACATCTCCAAGTGAAACGTAAGTTTAGCATATTTTAAACATGGACCCATGAAGCAGGTAGGAGCTGTCAGTACTCACTTCTGGTCTGATTTACTGGTAGAAAGACCCCAGAAAAATCAGCAGAAGAATAAGAAGTCTTGAACTTAAGTTTAGATGCTCAGCAAGCACTGCAGAAAGCCGGGTACTGTGAGACTCCTGAGCTTCTTGATGAACCAGCGCCAGACACCCTGTTCCTGCTCTATCCATTATTACATGGGAATTAGCAAAATAAACGTTTGTGTGATCATTAAATTAGTCATAACCACAAGAATTTGTTCCGTTGCCTGACGCGAGCGGAGCGGTGTGTGTTCTCCCGTGGCGCAGCGGTAACGCATCCCTTCATGCTTCAGTGTCTGAAAGCGCCATCGTTCCCCAGCCGTGCCTTCTCGTCGCTGGAGCTGGGATGTGATAATTTTGCTCTTGTATTTTTGTAGCTTTTGTCTTTCGGAGAGGCTTTAACCGAAGGCTAATCAGCGTAATTTTTAATTGTTCATTTGTCTCGCTCTCTGAAGCTGATTAGATGACCTTGCCAAGGAATCAGTGGGGAATTGTTCGAGCGAAGCGAGCAAGCTCGGCGAACTCCCGGCGCTCTGGCGCGGTGCCACCCTGGCTATTTATAGGCCGGTAAGAAGAGTCAAGCGCTGAAGAGAGCGAGCTCCTGATTTGAGTACCAGATGCCTCGTGTGCTGACCTGCAGCCGTCGCTGCCCGGGAGCCGCGGCAGCCCCAGGAGCAGATTGCCC